ATTTACAAAACTGTTCCAGAACAGTTTAACCCAAATATTCAGATGTGTCCAGCGCATTTTATGGAGGACTGTTACCTGATCCTGATAGAGTAGACTACAATGCCAGCTGTTCACAGACTGCAAGTAAGTTGTTGTTTTTTTTTTGTTTGTTTTTTTTTGTTTGTTTTTTTTTTTTAATTTAAAGAATTTGCCACTGACGATTCAAACGCGAGTTTTTTGGGCAGTGTAGAGTAGCACTTGTTTGTCATTTCCGCTTGAGGTATTCGGCCAATCACAACGCACTGGATAGCTGGCCAATCAGAGCACACCTCGCTTTTCAGACCGATGAGCTTTGTAAAAATCAACGCGTTTCAGAAAGGCGAAACAATAGAAGAAAGAAAGAATACAATAATGTACAGTATGTGGAAAATGTGTTTTTTGAATCTTAAACCGCATAAATGCATTTCATTACACCAAATACACAAAATAATGTTCTTTTTAGCAGCATCATATGACCCCTTTAAAACCTGTTTTATCTACTTAATCATTTGAACCACACCTGCTTATTCATTATTTTTATTTGGTATTGCCAGTCCCTCCCTACCTAACTTGTCACATACATAATAGGGTTGTGAGCTTGTGTATATTTTTACTGCTTCACTATCTGTATTGCTTATGTTTGTCCATTAGTTATTACACCTTGTTTATCAAAGCATATTGTTTCATAGTGCACATTATCTTAATTTCACACTACTGATGTATTTGAAACCAACTTCCTAAGGCATTTTTAGACTGATTCTCTTTGATATTTTGATTGTAAGTTAAATTAAATAACCAATAATATAAATAAAATAAACTAAATAAAAGGAAAAAAGTCAAACTAAAAACAAATGTAAACAAATAAACAAAAGGATTTTTTTTCCTACTTCTGTCGTTCAATTTAAGATCACCTATTGAACTACATCACGATAACTTTAATAGACCACTGGTGCTAATGTATTTTTGTGTTTTCCCCCTGTTAAGTCAGTTTTCAGCTTGTCACTTTTTTTGTTTTTCATAAAGATGCAAGGTCAGTCTCCTCCTGCCCCCATACGTGGCACCAAAAAAGCAGGAGCGGATGAGGAGGGAGATGCAGCTGAAGAAGAGGAGGTGGACAGCGGAGCCGGAGACAGTGTGGACGTGCTGCCCAGAACTGATATCAGGTCTGTGAGTAGGGGTGTGCCATATTATACCGTCCACGATAATACCGGTATAAATTTTTACATGATAAAAAGTAGTCATATCGCGATAGCAATGATATAGCGACGCGATGATGTATGGCGCATATACGTTCCCTAGCGCGCACAACAACAACACCACAAACCCAATAGGTGTGTTTGACTTTAAGCAGCGCTGCGCAGACTGATCGGTGTATAAAATCAAAGTATCGCGAGAGCGGTTCTACAGCATATTCGAGCACACACTCTTAACTTAAAAAATAGGCAAGGCGCATATCTTTAGCGAAGCGGCGCGGAGAGTGAACACTGGTGTAAACACAAGCATTGACTAGAGTGGCCGCGTCGGAGCCGTATCGCATCGCAGACGCGTGCAGTGTAAATAAGGGGTAAGTCACTGTAGCGGTATTTTGACGTCATACACCGATCGGTCTGCTTCAAGTCGAACACACTGCTGCTGCTGCTGCTGCTGCCACCTTATGACAATAGATTTACACTTCAAATTAGGTAGTCTGTTATCGATGACAGTAGCTCATTGGAAAAGGATGGAAAATGCCAGCTGCAATCACCAATAAAACGTTGTTCCATGTTTGTTTTTTTTCTATATCGTCATAAATATTATCGCAAATATTCTTGAAATATCGTGATATATAATTTTGAGGCTTTATCGCCCACTCCTATCTGTGAGAGTGTGGCAGTGCTTCACAAAACGTTTTCTTTTCAAATGTTACGTTCATCAGGCAGTTTTGGGATTCCAGTGCGAACAAACAGCTCAGATTAAGATTCTGATTCTTGTTCACAGTGATAAAATCACATTGGACATGGTGTCAAAGATCAGCGACAAGAACTGGAAGATCAGGAAGGAGGGGCTTGATGAGGTGGCAGCCGTCATTTCTGAGGCCAAATTCATCCAGGCTAACATCGGCGAGCTGCCAATGGCATTGAAGGGCCGTCTCAGTGATTCCAACAAACTACTGGTAATTCAAATCATTTCAACTAAACCAGATTTAAACATTTTATTTCTGACATTAGATAGTTTGTGCTCTCTATTGCCATTCAGGCATTTCAGTTGTAGCATTCAATTAAAGGCATGGTTGTGATCATATAAAATGTGTGTGTAGGTCCAGCAGGCTCTCAATATTCTGCAGCAGATAGCTACTGCCATGGGCCCGTCTCTCAAGCAGCATGTCAAGAACATGGGAATTCCAGTCATTACGTTTCTTGGTGACAGCAAGGTATGAAACACTTAAGAGTCTGTTTGTTACACTTGTGGTGTGGCATCACGTGCACTTGTGCTGCTTGTCTGGCTCTTCAGGTAACCTACAGCTAGAGAGAGTGAATTGTTTCTAATTTTCTTGAAATTTGACTTTTCAGGCTAATGTACGTGCTGCTGCCTTGTCAACACTGAACGCATGGGTGGAGCAGACTGGAATGAAGGAGTGGCTTGAAGGAGAGGACCTATCAGAGGAGCTCAAAAAGGAAAACCCCTTCCTCAGACAGGAGGTACAGCATTCATGGTTTACCCTGTAATGCCTGGTATATGAAATGAGTCAGTCTAATTTTATGAAATGGAAGAATTTATTGAACCTTTAGGCAAATTATTAAAAAGGAAAATAAAATGGCATCATGAGAAAATATGGAGCTCATGCTTATGGAAAAAACATGGCAAACACAATTTTTTTTAAACAAAAATAACCTTAAATTAATTTTATTTGATCAATGATCACAAGCTAAAATGCTGTTAAAATTCTGTAGCTGCTGGGCTGGCTTGCTGAGAAGCTGCCCACCCTGCGTACAGTGCCTACAGACCTCATGCTGTGCGTGCCTCACCTGTACACCTGCCTGGAGGACCGCAGCGGAGACGTGCGCAGAAAAGCTCAGGATGCACTTCCCTCCTTCATGATGCACCTGGGCTATGAGAAGATGATCAAGGCTGCTGGCAAACTGAAGGTAAGAGGGAAAAGTATGTTCAATTCTCTGAATATAATTGTAAAAAAAAGCATTTATTTAAGCATTTATACGTGTCTTTACTTTCCTTTTCGATCACTAATGCATCCTGAAAAAAGTATGATTTTCATTCAATGTTATCGTAGATGGTTAATAAGACCAAAACGCATGGATCAACTTTTGACCATAGAAAAGCAGTCATGCAACATCAGTCTCCTCCTTGTCTTTCTGCAGCCGGCGTCAAAGGACCAGGTGGTTGGCATGCTGGAGAAGGCCAGGGCCGTGATGCCAGCCAAGCCTGCAGTTCCTGTCAAAGCTGCAGCTTCCAAACCCGCCTCCAGTGCCCCTGCTGCCAAACCAGCCTCAGGTTCATGCACTTTCCCTTTAACCACAGCTAACATGACCACTACTTCCTGGCTGGTTTATTGAACACATTTATATTTGCATGGTTGTTAATGTGAACATATGCACTCCATAAATTTACCCTTTTTTGCAGTTATTGATTTTTTTTTTTTTTGGGGGGGGGTAATTATGTGTCTCTTTCAGAAAAATACAAAAGGACTTTTTTCTTTATCTATTTATTTATTGGTTTAAGGAAAATGTAAATTTAAAAACTCTGATTTGAGATCTTTTAAAGATGCTGGACTCAACTTGAAAGTCTTTTTATTTTACAGCTCCAGCCAGGAACCAAAGTCCCAGTGAAGATTTTAGTGAACCAGAACCCAAACCAGACACTAAGAAAGCTAAACCAGCAGGTCCTGCGGCTAAAAAGGTGTGGCACATTTCAGTGTTTCTGCTTTGCCTGGTTTGGTAGGGAGTTGCTGCTCATGAGAGATTTAAAACCTTTTCCCAAATTGTGATCTGAAACATCAGTTCCATAATACACAAGGGACTATTCATGGGAAGACAATGACTGTTCTTTTGCAGTTCCAAAATAAGAAGCCTCAATTGAATGTGAATTTAGATTTTGGCCGACTTTCTAAAAGTATGAAGAGTCTGAGGATGAATTGGGTTCTGCATTTGTTTTAAATGAGTGTTGCTCTCTCAAGTGTCATTTTGTGCACTAGAGAGAGAGCATGGAGCTCAAGGTGAAGGGAGAGAAAGATAATGCTAAACAAAACAGGCTCTCGAGAGGGACGCCTAACAGCGAGATGGTGTATTAGAATCTGGTATGAGGTGGCGCGTTTGGTTTGGAAGCACTGCATGTAATGTAAACTGATTCACAACATTTCTGTAATCCCATCTTCCTTATTTAGCTGTAATGGTCCAATCCAAGTTCGGTAGTCAGTGGAAATTATTACAATTATTGTAATGAGAAACAATTATAAACCTGTTGTAGTGTTGTCACGGTACCAAAATTTCAGTATTCGGTACCAATACCAGTGAAAATCCACGGTTCTCAGTACCA